GTTAGCAGTCAAATGTCTTAGGCACTATGCCACTGTTGTTGTTGTTATGTGCCGTTGAGTCGGACCAGACTCATAGCGACCCCTCCTTGGGTTTCCGAGGCAGTATCACTACTGAAATAGATTGCCCCATCTTCCTTCCGAGGAGTGGCTGATGGGTTTGAACCTCCAGCCTTCTGGTGAGCAGTCAAGTGCCTTAGGCACTATGCTACCAGAGCTCCCAAACAGTAGGCAGAGTTATGCAATTACTAGAGCTCTAGTGGCATAGTAGGAGCTCTGGTAGCACAATGCCTAAGGCACTTGACTGCTCACCAGAAGGCTGGAGGTTCAAACCCATCAGCCACTCCTCGGAAGGAAGATAGGGCACTCTATTTCCGTAGTGATACTGCCTCGGAAACCCAAGGAGGGGTCACTGTGAGTCGGGTCTGACTCTACGGCACAGCCTACTGTTTACTCCTTCAAATCAAACATTTCTTTTAACTTTGAGGGGATATAAAGAGAAGAAAGAGAGAGACTATCCATGTTCCTGTACGTATCAAAGCACTTAATATGGTGTGATTGCTCTCACATACTTAAGCAACAAAAGATATTTATTTCTTAACACAAATTAAACAAATTATACAACAATTTGAAAAATCCTATTATATCAAAGACTATTATTTCTATTTTAATATTCTACTTTACATTACAAATAATTTGTCTTTATGGGTTGATCACAAAAACCACATTGAAAATGGCACCATCACCCAAGTATTAACATTTTATTTCTCTTTATTTACTCCCAATTAATACTTCTTACTAGTACCAAGTACATATGTCTTTATTTCTTTCCCCACTGATAAGCAAGTATTTTCCTCTCTTTAATAACAAGGAATCTTTCTGTGCACACATGTTTAAATAAAATTTAAAAGATAAAAGTGAGTTTGACCTATTACTTAGAAATAGAACAAAAGAGAATGTAGAAAAAGCTCTGAGCTAAGTTAATACCCAATTCTAGGTTTAATTTGTGGCAGAAAAGACTATTCATTGATTCACTCATAACATTTACCACATGCTTTACAGTGAATGGGTGCTAGGGATTCATTGGTAAATAAAATATAATGCCTGCCCTTCAAGATCTAAAGAAAGACTATTTAACTAAAATCATGTTTGGAAGCTATATAAAAACATTTTAGGGAAACAATTCTAATGTACTTTCATTCAAAGCCATCCCAAGTGGAAATGAACACAAAATGACACTACTTTTTTTTTTTAAAATGCATTTTGGCTCTACTACCATCAAGGAGCCCCTGTTGCACCGTAGTTAGTGCTCAGCTGCTAACCAAAAAACTGGCAGTTTGAAACTACCAGCCAGTACGCAGCAGAAGGTATCTGCTTACATAAAGATTACATCTAAATCTTATGGGGCAGTTCTACTCTGTCCTATGGAGTCACTATGAGTCAGAATCGACTCTACAGCAATAGGTAACAGGTACAGGTACCATCAAGAGTGGTTGGTTAATCTTAACCTTAATTAAGCAGATTATGTTAAAAATATAAATATGGCAGTTGTTCTTTCTCTGTTGTTGTTAGGTGCCATTAAGTGGGTTCTGACTCATAGTAACCCCACATACAACAGAACTAAACACTGCCCAGTCCTGCCTCATCCTCACAATAGTTGCTATGTTTGAGCCAACTGTTGCAGCCCTATGTCAATTTAATTTCTCTTCCTCTTTTTCGCTAATCCACTACTTCAAAAAGCATGATACCCTTCTTCTGATAACATGCCCAAAGTAGATAAAATGAAGTTTCACCATCCTATTCTCTAAGGAGTATTCGGGCGATACTTCTTCTAAGACAGATTTTTTGTTCTTCTTGAAGTCTTTGATATATTCAATATGCTTTGCCAACACCATCATTCAAATCCATCTTCCTTATTCATTGCATAGCTTTTGCATGCATATGATGATTGAAAGTATCATTGCTTCAGTCAGTGCACTTTAGTCCTCAAAATGACTTCTTTGCCTTTTAGCACTTCAAAGAGGTCTTTTGCAGCAGATTCACCTAAACACAATATATCAATTGATTTCTTGACTGTTGCTTCCAAAGGCGATGATTGTGGATCCAAGTAAAATGAAACTGTTGACGTCAATATTTATTTTGTTTATCATGATGTTGCTTATTGCCAGTTGTAAGGATTTTTATGTTGAGGAGGAGCCCTGGTGGCACAGGGTTAAAGTGCTCAGCTACTAACTAAGAGGTCTATAGTTCAAACCAACCAGCTCCTCCAAGGGAGAAAGATATGGCAGTCTGCTTCTGTAAAGATTTACAGCCTTGGAAACCCTATGATGCAATTCTATTCTGTCCACTACGATTGCTATGGGTTATGCTGAGGTGTAATCCACACTGAGGATGGATTAATAATGTTCCTTCTCTAACTTTTGATTAAAAAGCAATTTTAGAAAAACATCACCCAGATAGATTGCTTGTTTTTAGCATCAGTAATTGATAACATTACACATTTCAGACCTTTTGTTGTTGGGTGCTGTTGAGTTGATTCCAACTCATAGTGACTCCATGTGGCAGAGTAGAACTATCCCATAGGCTTTTCTTGGCTATAATCTTTTATTTATTTATTTTTAATTGTAATCTTTACTTATTTTTTTATTTTCATTGTGATTGGGTAAAAGTTTACACAGCAATTTCATTTTCCACATAGCAGTTCATACACATTTTGTTTCATGACATTGACTAAAATTCCCCATAATGTAACAGCTCTCTTCCCACTTCTCCTTATAGTTTTCTTCCCTGTATCTTTCTTTCCTATGCATTCTTGCCCTGGAAGCTATCTCCCTGTGCAAATACTTCTATTCTCCCATGATTGACCACTCAAAGGAGTATATCTACCTGATGTAAATGTTCACTCTATATGCCTGTCCATTGTTTGGCTGGAAGTCACAGGAGTTCAATTCCAGATCTGAAGGGTAACAAGGGGCCATAGTCTCGGGGTCTCACCAGGCTCTATCAGACTAGTAAACCTGTTTTTTTTTTTTTTAAATGATTTTGAGTTTTGCTCTACATTGCTCTCCCACTCCATCCAGGATCTCCTGCACTGATCCTTTTCTAAGGAGTTGACAGGGGCAGCCAGGCACCATCTAGTTCTTCTGGTCTCATGGTCATATAGGCTGAAGATGGCATGGTCTATTAGTCCCCTGGACTAATTGTTTCCGTGCATCTTTGGTCTTCTTCATTCTTTTTTTGCTCTGGACCCAAAGAGACCCATTATTGCACCTAGATGGCTGCTTGCAAGCTTTTAAGACTCTAGTCGTTATTCACCAAAATAG